TTTGTCCTGTTTCCAGAGGTAAGATTTTAATCCACTATGCTTTTTATGTCTAAACAATCTGTCACCAGATTACTTGAGAAACCCTAAGAATATAATTTTCTGTTTCCAGCTACTATCAAAATATAGTGATGTTTTATACTTCAGTATTACTATTAAGCTGGTTCCTTCTATTCCTTGGCAATTGAGAGTTACTTCTCGCTCAGTGTGGTTAGGATTCTCTATTAGCAATAATTGATAGCATTAGATAAGTCTATGATTCTCTAGCAATTGCATTACCAGGAAATTCTCAGATGCTTGTAGCCTTAGCCATTTGGGCCATAAGAAATAAACAGGTTTGTACAGGTTTTGTAAACAATAAAATAAAATAAATAGGGAAGCTAAAACCATAATGATTACTGTAGTGCTTTTTCTGGAATACTGCCAATATGACTGGGAAGATCACTTATGAGATTATTCCAGCAATTATACAAGGCTATAGATCTAGTAAAGTGCATACTTTATATAACTAAACAATAAAAAAGCAAAATAGGAAGGGGGAGAGAAGAATAAGTGAAGGTCATTTAACTGTGGTTTTGTCAAATGCTGGACTGTATTCACTTACATTTGATGATATAGCCCCCAGCTCTTTGTTCTCCTTGTCATCTGTCCTTCACACCAGATGTACGCGATTTATGAAAAGAGTGTGTGGACATAGTTCAGCTCTTGATGTGCAAGCACTTTCCCAGGTCAGGTGGAGTCTGCAGTTTGTGAAGCTCCTCTTTTCCATGCACAAGTTCTTTCCTCTTTTGGTACTGGTTCTAAATGTGTATTTAGAAGAACTAACTCTGGCTTGTTAACATATTCTCCTTTTTCATATTTACTTGCGATTGGGATGGGGTCTTTTTTGTTTGTTAGTTCTTCTGCCCTTTAAAATACTGTATTTTTTTACACTGGGAGACATTAATTTGTGGGAATGTCTGTACCTAGAGCTTACCAACTTTTAACAGCTAAAACTTGATTTCGGTTTGTAAGGAGAAGAGCGATTGTTAGGCTCAGAGTAAATGCTCTGTTTTTGAAAATGTGATTTGATTCAAAATGATAAATGGCATATTTGTTGGCAGATTCACAGAGAGCTCAGAGAATCAGTAGACTTGTATTTTTTGTTTGTTTGTTTGTAGTGGAAGACCCTTACTAGCAGCGCTGTCTTCAGGTTGTGCCCAGTCAAACCAGGGCTGCTGATTTGCAAGAAACACCCTTGCAGTATTTTTTGTCCTCTGCTGCTTAGCCTCATTAATCCATGAAATGTTTGAGACTGAGGCAAAGCACGGAGGTAATTCTCTGACCTCTCACAGCTTGTTTCACTGAATTCTTTGAGGTTTTTGAGACTGGTTAAAGCACAGTCAGCTTGAACTACACTGGGAAAAGCAGGAAAAATGAAGAATAAGATTTGACCAGAGGCATGTCAGTTCATTGTTGAAGGGGATTTTGTTGAATTACCAGCATATTCCCTTCAAGTAGAGTTTCACTTCAGGAATTACTCAGGCAGGTTAGACAAGCGAGCATCTTACAGCAATTCTCCAGGTGGAGCCAAGTCAGTATTCTTTATTTATTATCTTTTTAGTGCTTTCAGGAACTGCCCTCTCATTGAATTAGAATGCCTTCAGTCCTCTAGCCTCCAGTGATACAAGGAAATAAAGACTGACTGCGAAAATGAGTGTAGTAACTGGGGGGCTGTGCGCCTGTGAAGCGTGTTCTTAATGTTAGTGCTCCTTTCAGAGTAACAAGCAGGTATGATCATGAGGAAGAAGGGAATGGTTTCTGTTGGCTTTTGCATTTGTGTGCTCTTATTCATTAGATACATAAACATTGTGTACATGTAAATTAAGGATTGAGTTTATGGAAGCTGTACATTTAGCTTAATAAACACCCTGTACTTCCTAAATGCTTATACATCTTTGCAAGTCACATGAATGCAAGATTTAAGACCATTACGCTTCCCTAAAACCGTGGGGTTTGCCTTTTTTTTTTTTTTTTTTTAATCATAAATGCAGGTCAGATCTCCTATCCAGGCCAAGTTTTGTCAAGTTTCACTGAATTTTTATACAGTTCATTGACAGTGAAATATTTCTATATTTAGACTAATAGGGAATCAGGGTGTTCTAAAGGAAAAGCCAAAGTGTGAGAGGAAGAGAACAAAACTGCAAGTTTTGTCATGGTGCGGACTGTGGTAATGGCTTTTAGATGTCATGCTGTCAAAGTGGATCCAAATGTAAGGAAGGGGGAGACAAGTGTAGTAGCATCTTGTCTGGGGCTCATCAGTCTGGCTGTTTCATTTGCCAAGGTGTCTTCAGATCTACTCCCATTTCTGTCATTCCAGGGACAGCTTAGAAGGTTTCTTCCTCCCAGCTTCATGCTGCTGCTGTGAAGTACTTTTGACTTATTGTTCCTGTGTACAGCTAAGGAAAAATGAATGATGATTTTAGAAACTCCTAGATTCTGAACACAAGAAAAAGTACTTCCTCCCCTTTCTCCAATGCTGCTTTGTAGAAAGATGGAAGGGTGATCAGCTTTGAGAAGGAAAATTGCTTTAATGCTACTTGATTTACAAGAGGTTTGCGTCACATTAAAATTTTCATGTTGTTACTGGGTTTTTCTGAAGAGCGTGGAGAGTAAAACTGTTATACTTTTTTTCTACCTTTAGCCTCCTTTGCCTTCAGATATAAGGAGGACATTTGATGCAGCAGTAGCGCTGCTCTCTTATTTTGTGGTGGAAGATAGTGGTAACATAAAACATACCTTTTGAAAAACTCACCGCATACCTCAGAAAACTAGCATTAGCAGAGTAGTTCATAGGTGGAGGATGATAAAAGCTTCTTAGGGTTTCTCAGTTCCCTGGTAAGTGACGGGGCTCAGCCTGGAGATGCAACGGGACTCCAGAGCAGCCCTGTGATTTTAGCTTCACAGCTCCTTCCACAGAGATGTGTATTGCTCAGCAGCACCCACACCACGATAGCTTTGCTGCTTTCCGTGCACAGGAGACAAGTAGTGGCTTTGATGGGTTTAACAGCCCTCTGGAGGGGTACCTGTGCTTGCCAAGTAAGTGGAAAGGCTGCCTAGGTATGTAGTTTAGACCAGCTGTCTGACTTGTAGATAGCTAGTCAAGTGAAATAAATCCCGCTGCAGGTAAGCAAAAGCAAAAAAACCTAAGCAAAAGACCCGCTTCCATCTCAATTTGCTCAGTGGAATCCTTCCTGTTGCCTGCTTCGAGGGCAAAACACCATCCAATTGGCACAGCAATACAGGAGCAAATAAAAAGTTAAGGTGGTGGGTACCTAACGAATATTTTTTAAGGAAAGTCAAGAGAAGTTTTGCGAAACTTCTGAAAATTACCATAGATTTCCTGAAGTCGATAGAGCAGCACAAATTGAAGCTATCTGAAAATTTACTCCATAGATTTTATGAACTAAAATTCTTTGCAATTAAAAATGTTGGCTTGACCATGGTTTCATTGCACAGGTGGGATTGACATCAAGTTTCCCAGGACACTTTCCCTTCAGCAAATGCAATGCAGGCCTCTTCTGATCTTGCTGTGCCCATTTGATCATTAATTTTTCCTACTGTTGCCAAGAGTGGTGCCAGTTTTAGTTTGACTGTTGACAGTGATTTTTCTGAACATCAGTCTGCTATGCACTGTGCTGAGATCCACCAAACTTATTTCAAATAACAAGTGAGAACATCCCCCCCCTTTACTCCTCCACACACTGCTCTTAATATAGCGATTGTATTCACATCAAAGCTGTCAGAAGGTTTCTGTGATCTCATTAGCTATACTTATTTCTACCTACAGAATAAATGAATCATCAACTGAAACAGCATAAAGACCAACTGGTAAGACTCACATGGCTATATGTATATCTGTGCTGAGAATACATATTTTCTCAAGTCTGTAGATTCCACATGTTAAAATTGCTGGCTTTGCAGACTTAAAAAGGGTTAAGTCATTTCTGAGATGAATTTAGTTCTACAGTCTTTAACATGGAAACAAAATTGTTAAACCCTTTAACAAGCAGTTTTATAATTTCATATGGCATATTAAAAAAAAAGCCCTTTCTTTTTATAGAACACTGAAGGAACTGAAAATATAATTTAATGCTTGTGGATTTTTTTTTCGTTTTGTTTTTGTTTATGTGGTTAAAACACAGAGTCATTTCATTTTATGGCTGTGTGAGGTAAATTAGATAGACGGTACCCAATAGAAGTTAGCCGAGTTGATTCAGCCAATTTAAATGCTTCTGAATATAAGCACGCACTGCAAGGGAGTGAAATCAGATTAAATAGGAAAATGAAGAGAGATTGGACACGGCTAGAAGCTAGGTGTTAAATAAGTGATGTAGGGATATTGGTGGTGAGTCCAGGACGTACATAGTGAAAAAGTAAAAGGATTCTGATGTCTAGCTACTGGTTACTCATACTATTTGAAGATAATTTTAGACGCTAGTGGGAAGAGTGGTCACTGGAAACTAAAATCTCTAACAACCAGGAGCCATGTCTAGAGGAGCTGGGCAGTACAGAGTGGGTCAGTCAGCAAGTTGAGGCAGGTACCTCTCTGAAAGTTGAGGACTTCCATTCACTCTTCATGGATGAGAGAAATAGGTCTAGAAGAGAAAAGATGGAGAATTCAGAGTTGGTTCGTTGGACATGGAATTCTTCTAATTCTGTATCCTCTTTCTTTATGGTTAAGGGGAAGGAGTTCTACAGACTTGACAAAGTGAGATTTATTCTGCTGATAAGGAATATAAAGTGAGGGAAGACATAAATCTCTACATCCTCTCTTTCTCATTCAGTGAAACATAGATACCCAGTCTAAAAGCATTCTTTGTACAGAGAAGCTCCATGTGCCATTGCTACAGACAGCTCCTCTGCGCCCGTGCAGAACCAATCTAGTGGAACAAGTGAATGACCAACGAAAACAAATCTTACACCAATACACAAGCACACTCGTATTCTGAAGTGCAGGTGAAACAGCTTTTCCTGGTATAGCGTTGACAGGAGTTTGTATCCGTGTCTGTCTCATTTCCAGAAACAAGAACAATAGATCTGTAAATCTGAACTGGGATTAAGAATTCCAACCCACACAAGTAAAACTTCCTATTTCCAGAATTCAATGCCTCATTTGGGGGGGTTTATAAAATTCTTATAAATGGAGGAATGACTTCTGTAGATCTAGAATGGTGTCCCTTGTGATAGTGTGGGGAGTTTCCCAAACTATTGGTTTGAGATGAAAGTACACTGCTTCCAAATTGCATTTCCTAATAGTCTCTTGCAATCGTCCAATCATGTTGCCTCGTTATTGGATGCCGGAAGGCCTCTGTAGGTATCCAAAGGACAATCTTCATTGTTTCCACATCAGGCTATGTTGTTCTGAGACAAATGTTCATAGGCCAAAAAGTAAAGCTACTAAGTACCGATAACCTATGTAACTCAAAAGGCAAAAATTGCCAGGTATAATCAAGCCTTGTGAGTTAGGAAAACATTCTTCTCAGGTAAATTGGCTGAATGTTACAAGGATTTACATGAACAGTGACCTTCGAAAATCTGGTATTTCAGTACCACAAACCTGAGTAATAAATTACGTGGTAGAGTGTACCTGATTTAGCTGATTCTCTTCACTGCCAGTCTGCATGACTGGGTGTCCACATCGAGGAGCTGGGGAGTTCAGTGCAGACGATCTGAATGTCATGCAGTCAGCTCGTGTCCGGCCAGGTTGGCTGCACTTGGAAACCAGGTGAGAAGTTTTTGGGGGGTGACAGCTGCCAAAGGCAAATGAAGAAGGCAGCAGGACTCACTTCAGGAGCGGATGGAGAGGAGTCTATGGGAGCAGCAAATCCCAGCACTGAACTTTGCAGCAGTTCATTTCACAGTGGTGGCCAGCCCTCGTGATCTTGGCAGGACACGTGCCACGCACGTCAGAGTATGGGCGGCAAGGGTCAGAGCTGAACAAGGTGGAGGCTCCCAATCTCATTCCCCTGCATTCGGGGCAGCCCGAGTGCCATGGGGGCTCAACGTGTCGGTATCAACAGCACCTCCCCTCCCTTCACAAACATAGACGTCATCGCAAATAATATAAACTAGAAGCAATCCTAGGTATGCATACAAAACTGAAGTCAGTAAGATGCCGCTAGTGCCATGTCTCACAGGGACGCTCTGATAGGTAAAAGAATTTAAAAATAATTTATTTATCAAATGTTGTGATTTTTTTTTTTTTTTTTCCTTTTTTCCTTTATGATAAGTATAGTCATCTTTCAGGAAAAGTGATTCTATATGTTACGTTCTATTATAAACAAATGGCTTAATGGTCATGTTATAGTCATAGGGCCTGAAATCTGTCAGTAGGCAGCCCTCTTACTTTAGTTCTTGTCTATAAAATGAAAGAATGATTTACAGATGCTGCACATTTACAGTTTGAGCTTTGCAAAGAAGTCCTTGCCAGAACAAGATACTTTATAATAGAGTAATACCCTGGGTTTGCTTTACTTTATTTGTCATCATCTTTATAAAGTCTTGCATCAAGATAGAGCTTGGAAATAACATCATTTTTTTTTCTTATTGTCTAATTTATGTCATTTATCTATCTTATCTCTATCTTTCTTATTTATCTTACTTCTGTTTTAGCGTAAGCAGAGAGGCTGTAGTGCCCAGAAACACAGCATGAGAGACATAGTCTCAGCTGATAGAAACCAGTGTAGCTCCTTTGAAGGCTGAGAATCTGGCCATTAATATCATGTAAAGTTAGCGGGTTTTGATTTCCAGGAGAGTTGACAGAGCACACACATCTCCAGGTAAAGTAAGTGGAAGAGACGGGCTCAATATCTCTGAAAATCAGAGATTGCTAATAGGTCATAGGGATTTGTAAACAAAGGATTAAATTCTGCTATATCTTACTGACCTAGCCACAGTTACGCAGTTGTGTGTGGTACCCAGGTATAACTCAGCTTATGGAGAATCCTGTTTTTGTGGTTTTTGCTTTCTAGTTTCATTCTGAAAACATGTTTGCTTCCAGATATATTTTCTGTGTTATGATCCACCGTCTTGTTTACAATTTCCATTTTTTTGAAATATGTTGATGCGTCTGGTAAAGAAACAATGCATTAGGGCAGATGGGAGGGGCTGGGTAATGCCTGTGAAATGTTTGGGGAAACTGAGTCAGATCTTTGCTGCAGGGAAGCTTTAAATACCAATTCCCTTCCAGTAGGGAGTAGGCAAAGGCTAAAAAACTATTTTGGAACTTACCCCCTTTCCAGTTCAGGCAAGTAGCATTAACAAATGTCAGGTCCAATTGGATTTTGCCTGTTCTGTGATCTGTCCATCCTAGAGGCACATGCTGCCCATGAAGATGATGGAATAACAATTATTTTCTCCAATTTCAAGGAGTTTTCACACACATTGGGGATCCTGCTGATTCACTGTACAGATTATCATTAAAAGTGAAGTGCTATGCTAAAACCAGATTGTAAATTGAGTTACTGTATGACTTTGTATGGGTAGGAAAAAAGGAAGTATGGGGCAAAAGTCAAGAACCTGAAGTAATGTAAACTTCTGTTACACTTGACATTTGAGCTTTTCCAGTGAGTTCTTTGTGTAAAAGTCCATTCCTGGGCATTACTGTCACTTCTGCTTTCACTATGGAACATTAACTCTGTTTTCATTGCTCACATCTAGCAATGATCAGATGAAGCGTGGCATATCCAAGCTGATAACCTATCATTTGCTTGCTTTTAAATACAGACATACACACATATTTCAGTACCAGCCTTCTGCTGCTGGCTTCTTTTGTTAAAATGCTGGTTCTTCCATGTAGAAGAAGAAACCCCTCCCCCACCAAAAAAAAAAAAAAGTGGTTTTTTTTTCCTTCGCTGATGAAATATTTGAAGATGTGCTTGTGAAATAATAAGACTGTTCCATCAGGCTGGATCTTAACAGGCCGTAAGGCAGCTCAAGCATCACACCCATTATCTGCTATGCAAATTGATTCATCTTTCAGCAGGGAGTTTTGTTTCGGATTACAAGAATTACAGGAGGAATGTACCTCTGCTATGCATGTAGATGTGTTTTGGGGGGCTGCTAGTGAAAAGCCTTGCCTTGGGAACTAAGAGTGATGAAACAAGCGACTCCACAGATCTTCCATTTCTGGAGATATAACCGTAGTCTAAGATCCCAGTGATACTTTCATGTACCCTACTGTCAAGGTCGCTTTCCTAAATGCTGCAGCCCATTAAAAACTGCGGAGATAAACTGGTTTGCAAAACTGCTGGTGTGGCAGCTTGAAAGGAATGTGCACAGCAGAACTACCTGGTGTAGGCAGAGGGGCTGTGTTGACAGGGCAGCTGGAGACTGAAACGATAGGAAAGTTGTTGATCGGGGATGCAGTGCAAGCACTTAATTACAGAAGCCTACAAGATTGAGCTTTACATAACTTTCTAGTGTTTTGCAAATTATCGGTTATTACATCAACTGCCCTGTTAATAACTCTTACTAACTTCAGGGTGATCTGAACTAGAGTGCTAGGATAGAAAGTTTGGTCCTGTATGCATTTTAAGTGTTATGGTATTTTCTGCCTCATAAGGCTATAATGTATCTTGTAACGTAGGTGATAACATAACTCTGATAGAGAGGAGTGAGGCGGTCTAGTAGGCAAAGTAAAGAAGAATGTGATGGGGGCAGCGGGATAGAAAGAAAAGTATGGAGATTATAAAATGAGAGTGATTACAACTATGTAATCGTATTACAACTTTTGAAGTGCTAATTTTCCCTTACCCCTACAGACCCTCCTAGTCTCTGTAGAGGAGAGGAAAAAGCTAAACCAGGTCATACAGAGACTCATAGAGGCAAATGAGAGTTAAGCTATTGGCCACGAGACTTGATATCCCAGTGATTAGTATGTTGAGATACACTGAATTAAGTAAGGGAAGGTGGAAGAATCTTGCATTTGTATTTATGCTGTATTTATTCTTTTGAGCATTGGGCGTTAGGTGACTTTGAAAAGAAAAGCTGCAGGTTTGCTGGAGATCCAAACATCTCCTATACCCACAGTCACTAACTCACTAGGAATGTCTTATGTCCACATGAGACGATCATTCATTTGCAGAATTGCTCAACTCTTTGTGCAGATCTGTGGCATTTCCAGATTTAGAGGCAGCCAAGTGCATGAACTTCACTAATTTCCATATACTGTGTGGAAAATTATCCAGAATGTTTTACATTAAAATTCAAGGTTTGTACAGCGCACCTTCCTTATAGCACTGCTGCAAATTAAACTCACTTATACATTAGGAAAGGTGCCAATGCAATCATAATAGAAGGCTGAAGTGCTGAAATGATAAAGTAGTTCTTTTGCTGCCTTCCTTGGCACACGTTCAGCACCCCACTTCGATTCAAACATCATACTCCATTTGGTAAAACTCTTGAGAGCAATAAAAATTATGTATTATGAACCTGATTTGTGAGGAGAGGATGCGAGACGCGCTGGAAGTCTGGTACAAAATAATAGTAGGTTTTTCGGATCATGCATATAACAGTTGTGGAAATTTGGTTCTTATGCATGTGTACTTCTGAATGAAGAACTTCCGAACAGTGACTCTTCAATAAATGTCAGAGGAATATAGTCCTTGTTTGGACATTTGCCAGACTGAAGAGCAGCCAGTCCCCCATTCTCATCTGCTGGATTAAGCACATTGAATTACTTTGTTCGTGAAGCAACGTCATCTGTGTCAAAGTCATGTAGCATGTCATTTTTCTGTGCACTCAGACTGATTGATTAGTTCACTGTCATTCTAAATGCATTTCTGTTAAATAGTTTGTAGAGCTGATTGCTTTCGAAAGGATTTTTTTCATTGGAAAAGGTCATTAATCCCAATAACACTTTCGAAAGGAACTGTTGCTTCTGGGATTTTATTTTTGTTTCAGCATTTTCCATAGATGCACTGTTTGCATTCATTTTTATTGGAAATGTTATGAAAACATTTATTGGCATTTCTAATTTATGGCTGATCTAATATTCGGTAAATGATACAGTATATTTTGATGACTTCCTAAAAATCCCTCAAATACTTAAAAGGACAAAAAAAGACACTGCTTACAGACACAGTAACATGAAAACAATATTTTATAATGTTTAGAAAATGTTTTATGCATTTTCTTTTCGGTTGTTTAAATTTCTGATGCTTCTTAATGCTAGAAAGCATGTTTTCCTCACCAGTAATTTCCATTTTAAAGTAGCATTTGGAGGCACTCTGATTAAGTTTCATAGGAAGTCGTCAAACAGATGTTGTATTCCACCTTCAGGTTGTAAGGATTGTATTTGTTGATGTGGTGGGCCTTTTTAAATATATGCAAGTATATGTAAATACATATATATGGGTGCACAAGTAGTCCTAATAAGAATGAGGTAATGACTTGTTATCAAAGGACAGATAAATAATGGTAATAACATAAAACTTGCATTTTATTTTTTTTTCTGACTCAGAGCTGGAGGCAAAAATATGACTTAATACCTTTTTAAATAAGATAAATTATTTCTTAGACAAGGCTGTATTCAAAAGCGTGAGTGCTGTTATTAGGCACAGATTGATTTTATCATTCAACAGTGAAAACCAGGGGGTGATCTTGTCCTGAGCTAATTGGTCTAGATTGAAATCCAGTAGTAAAGTCTGGCATGAAGGGAACTCTGCTAGGAACTTAGATATAACCTGGGAACTTAAGAGTAGGAGGTGGTGGGAGAAGGAGGGAATCTGAATGTATTGGTCAGTTAGAGAATGACTAACTGCTGACAGTGTTAGGTAGCAGGGAAATGATAAAGGAGGTTCTAAAAGGCATTAAGTGAGAATTATTAGCAGCCTTAGAGGAATAATGTGATTTGGAACATGCTCAGAGTAGGGAGAGAGATACAGTGCAGTTCAGAGAACATGAGGAGACATGGCCTGTGTATTCTAGTCCAGCTGAAATTGAGAGGAGATAAAGTGATTTTCTATAAACATATGACAGCCTCTAATTTGCACTTTTATTTGTGTTAATCTTAAACTTCAAATCTTTCCTGGTCATTTGCTGAGGCCAGGGAGGTTCTTTTCTCCTTTCTCTTCTGCAGTTGCAGAATTCAGTTTTTAAATGACTAGAACTAAAATCCAAGGGGAGACAATATGGTGGCAAGTTGCACTGGAATGAAATTCTCCTAACTGGTTCGTTGGTGTATCCTACTCATATTTTTAAGTTTACATTTCTCTCCATATTTAAGATCAGAAGGGAATTTAATCTCCTCAGTTCAAGTCAGCATGGCTGTCTTTTTTTGTTCTGTCCTTTTTTAAATTGTGGTGGGTTCTTTTTGCTTCTCTTCATTCCCTGTAAGGGGGGGGGGGGTATAGTTCCATTTTCTAGGGTGATTTGGAAATTGTATTTAAGGAATTCCTTGCTTTCATTCTTACATAGGGATATGTATGATATTACAGTCGTCTTTGATCTTTTCTGTTCTCCTTCTGTGGCACATTACAGTTAGGGAATTTTGTCTCTTGCTGTGTGTCACAGGCATGGCCAAACCACCTTAGCAAAGATTCACAGAAATCACTGAGAAACAGTTTTGTCAAAAAAAAACCCCTTCTTTTTCCACTGTAGGATTGTTTTCTCAGTATACGTGGACTTAACAAGCTGCTGAAGGAAGTTTCTACAATATGAATTCTTCATTGGGAGAAAGGTAATTGGATAAAGACGCAATATATTCTCTCCATTCTGTTTGTACAAATTAAAATGGTAATTGTGTGAGCCCAGTACAAAGGGCCAACTTGAAAGCAAGAACTTTGATATGTGAGAAATTTACTTTCAAGCACCGTAAACAAAGACAGGTGAAAACCTGTAAAGCTTCAGAGAAGCTAATGCACTTTCAGAACATCTGTGTCTCTTCACATGTGTTCCCAGGACCCACTCATCCCAGTAGACAAAGCAGATAATAATTGTGCTTGTGGGGCTTTTATTTAGAATTTGCATATGCAAACAGTAACAGCTGCTTGTACGTGCAAAGTTCTGTGCTTCTGTAATTGCGTAGCCTAGAAGTTGATAGTTTTCAGTCTTACTCGTGTATCAGAACCGAGTTTCCTTTTCCCCTGAGAATTCTTCCTGCTCCAAGGGAAAAGACCCAGATAATAGGCAGGTAGCAAATTATAAAGCTCTTGGTAAAGCCCGTGCCTGGCAACTCAGAAGCACTGGTAATAACAGCAGGTTATTGTTATTTCGCAAAAGAAGTACAATGTACGCTGTCTGGATCCACCTTAGGCTGTGATTTCTCAGGGTTCTGTAATCCAGGAGGCAGCAGTTGGTTTGACTAGAAGTGTCTCCAAGAGGCTCTGGTAGGGTCATGTCAGGAGTGGGAATGGCTTGGGGTAAAAGCTGTGTATCAAATCCTTGCACTGTATGCCAACTGGAAGATGTCCTAGCTTTTGGTAGAGTTGCAGTGGCCTTAAGTGGCACAATGGACCTAACATTTAAGTGGTATGCTTGGACAAGCTTCAAATGAGAAGTTAGTCTTGAAACTAAAAATGGTAATGTAATCAGCAAGGGATGGGGAGGTGAGTGAAGGACCTGAATGTTAACTGACTGTTTCAACCAAAATTAAATCTGTGGGTTACTTAAGCAGAGAAAGCGATTTGTCAAGCTGAGTAGATGTAGTGGGAGTGGAGGGCTTCAGTCTGAATGGCCGGTGATCGTTCTGGCTGCGGCGCTCTTGGATTTTACCATCAATTTATTAATTTCATTGCTCACTTAAAATGTGGAGAGCGTCTATCTCCACCCCATTTAATGCAGAAAAAAGGGATTTACTCCAGGTTTGTAAAGGATGTCAAGAGCAGGAGGTGTGTAGGTACTGAAGTGGGCAGACTGCGGTGGGCCAGCGGGTGGGAGCGCGGGGTGACATCGGTGTACGAGGGAGGGTGGGCTGGGTGGGGGGGTGACAGTGCGGTAGCATCTGCTTTACAGGTTTTTTGACCTCATATGTGCTTTTGCTTGCTTTTCGCTACTGCAGGGATGTAAGGCTGCAGAAAATCTAGTGCAGTCAGGATAGTGATTTCCTTTGTGGCAGTCATACTGTATCTTGTGAAATCCCTCAGTCTGTAAAATCCTGAGGTATTCATTGGTTTTCCTTAGTGTCGCAGTCATAGGGGTTAATGAAGGCTCCCATCTGCTAGAAACACCTAGTAATTAGGACTGCAGAGTAAAAATATGCTGGTGTACACCAAGTGCAACCTAAAGTTCAGAAAAAAGCAGATAAATAAAAAAGGCAATCCTCTAATCGCACAACAAATCAAATATATTGATATTTGCTAGAATTTCCCGATTTCATATGACTGACATCTATTATATAGATCTGGTCTAGAAATTCTTATAGGTAAAAGAATTTTTGTTTTTAGTTTGAACTCTCCATTGGATCCTCCTCAAAATTTAGAAGCAATCTGTTGTGGTTTAACCCCAGCCGGCAACTAAGCACCACACAACCGCTCGCTCACTCCTCCCCCTACCCCAGTGGGATGGGGATGAGAATCGGAAAAAAATTTAAAACATGTGGCTTGAGATAAGAACAGTTTAATACTTGAAATATAATAATAATAATAATAATAATAATAGTAGTAATGAAAAGGAAGATAACAGAAAGAGAAATAAA